AGCAAACTCTATTACACAGCTACACTAATGAAAACAGCGTGGTATTGGCATCAAAATTGAAATTTTGGCCTACGGAATCAAATCAAGGACCCGGATATTAATCCACAAACCTATGAACACCTGATTTTTGATGAAGAAGCTAAAATTATACAAAGGAAGAAAGAAAGCATCTTTAACAAATGGTGCTGGCATAACTGGATGTCAACCTGTAGAAGAATGAAAATAGATCCATATCTATCACCATGCACAAAACTCAAATCCCAATGGATTAAAGACCTCAATATAAATCAAACCACACTGAACCTGATAGAGAAGAAAGTGGAAAGTAGCCTGCAATACATGGATATAGGACCACTTCTCACATATAACCCCAGTAGCACACACAACATTGAATAAATAGAACCCCCTGAAACTGAGAAGCTTCTGTAAACCAAAGGACACTGTCATTAAGACAAAAAAGGCAACCTACTGAATGGGAGAAGATCTTCACCAACCCCACATATGACAAAGGACTGATCTCCAAAATAAATAAAGAACTCAAGAAATTAGACATTAAAATTCTAAATAACCCAATTAAAAAATGGGATCCTGAAATGAACAGAGAATAATATAAATATCCTGGGGTATCTCTAACCAAGCAAGTGAAAGGCTTGTGCAATAAAAACTTCAAGTCTTTGAAGAAAGAATTGGAGAAGATGGAAAGATCTCCTATGCTGATAAATCAGTAGAATTAGCATAGTAAAAACAACCATCCTTCCAAATGAAATCTACAGATTCAATCCTATCCCCATTAAAATTCCAAGGGTATTTGTCATAGATCTTAAAAGACAGTTCTCAGCTTCATATGGAAACACACACATACACAACAACAACAACAGCACAGGATAGCTAACATAATTCTGAACAATAAAAGAATTGCTGGGGGTCTTATCATTTTTTATTTCAAGTTGTACTACAGAGCTGTAGGAGTAAAAACAGCATGATATTGTCATAAAAGACATGTTGATTAATGGAATCAAATTGAAGACTAAGACATAAATCACATACTTATGTGTTAGGTTTCCATACCCCGATATTAAGTCTCTCTGCTGACACAGTAACCCAATCAAGCCAAATTAATAAGACCAAGTTTAATAAGCAAAGCATATTAACTCCCTGGTGATTCTTGGGGAAAGAAAGCAGGAGAGAAATCTCATGGCAGGTTAGGGTCCAGGTCTTAAATATCCTGTAGGGTTGGTTTTGAGCATCTCAGGGGGAGCAGCCAGCCTTTGGTGGCCTTACTCAGAAGCTGAGTTTGGACCAAAAGGATGGGGGCTGAAGTGAGCTTTGATAAAGAAGCAAGAAAAAACTGAAAAACACGGACAGCAGCCTCAACAAATGGTGCTAGTCAAATTGGATAGCTGAATGTAGAAGGACGCAAATAGATCCTTACTACCCTGAACAAAACTCAACTTGAAATGGATCAAAATCCTGAACATAAAACCAGTGGTGACACACACCCTTAATACCAGCCTCAAGAGGCAGAGGCAGGTGGATCTCTATGAGTCCAAGGCCAGATTGGTCTACAGAGTGAGTTCCAGGACAGCCAAGACTGTTTCACAGAGAACGCTCTCTTGAAAAATTTAAAAAAAAAAAAAAACTAAATAAATAAATAAACCCAGATACACTGAAGCTAAGAGCAAAGAAAGTGGGGAGCAGCCTTGACCTCATTGGCACAGATGCCAACTTCCTGAACAGAGAACCAATAGCACAGACACTAAGGTCAACAATTAGTAAATGGGATCTCATGAAACTGAAAAGCTTTGGCAAGGCAAAGGACACCATCATTTGGACAAAGTGGCATCCTACAGAATGGGAAAGAATTTTTTTTAGCAATTTCACATCCAGTACAGGATTAATATCTAAATTATATATCAAACTCAAGAAATTAGGTTAAAAAAACTGAAAACCCAATTAAAAATGGGGTATAGACCTAAACAGAATTCTCATGACACTCTTATATTTCAACACCATTAACCATCAGGGAAATGTAAATCATATTGACTTTGAGAGTCTTTCTTTATCAAAATGACTAAGATCAGTAACCTAGTGACAGCTCATGCTGTCGAGAATGTGGAGCAAGGGGAACACTTCTTCACTGCTGCTAAGAGTACAAATGTACACAGTCACTATGGAAATCAGTGTGGCAGTTCCCCAGAAAGTTAGGAATCGATCTACTTCTAGACCCAGCTATACCAATCTTAGGCATATACCCAAAAAACACTTAATCCTACCACACAAACACTTGCTCACCATGTTCATTGTTGCTCTATTCGAAGTAGCCAGAACTGAAAACAAACTACATGTTCCTCAACAGAAAGATAAAGAAGATGTGATACATTTATACAAAGGAGTATTATCAGGATGTTTTAAAAAAATAGAATCATTAAATGTTCAGGCAAATGAGTGGAACTAGAAAAAAATCCTGAGTGAGGCAACCCAGACCCAGAAAGATAAACATGGTTTGTATTCACTTATATGTGGATATTAGACATTAAATAAATGATAAGCAAGCTACAATCCATAGACCCAGAAGGGTTAGATAGAGACAAGAGGACTAGGAGGAAGACATGGATGTTTCTAGGAAGGAAAAATAGAGTTCATGGGTGGACTAGGAGCATCAGAGGGGACAGGAATGGAAGGTTCAAGTGGGAGGAGAGATGGGCTTGAGGGATAGAGTGTGGGGAGAGACAGCTAGAATTAAGAGGCATTGAGTGCTGGTGTGGAAATCTAGTATAGTACAAACTTCCTAAACTCTATGAAGATGATCCGAATGAAGTCTCCAAATAATGAGGGAGACATAGCTCCAACTGGTCAGATACTGTCAGTAAACAAATCTTCTAGTACCAGGATGGGTTACATTCAATTGAATTGTTGGCTGATGTGGGAGTGTCATATATCAATCTGTTGATTTCATTGGCTGAGCAATAAACCAACTGCTTGGCCTCATAGCTTAGAACATAGATGGGAGGAGTAAACAGAATAGGATGCTGGGCGGAAGAGGAAGTGAGGTCAGACTCTGCGCTGCTTCCAGAGGGACCGGACAGCCGCCATGCTCTGCTCTCCCAGGCAGCTGCAACCCACGATGGACTTAGGCTAGAATCTTCCCGGTAAGCGCACCTTGGGGTGCTTACACACATCATTAGAAATGGGCTAGTCCAGGTGCGAGAATTAGCCTGTAAGGGCTAGAGTTCATGGGCCAAGCAGTTCTTTAAATGAATACAGTTTGTGTGTTGTTATTTCGGGCATGAGCTAGCCAAGCGGCCGGGGTGTTGGGGACGCAGCCCCGCCGCCGCTCCTATTTCAACAATTGGCCAAAGGGGTCCCATGGGAAACCACAAATAATCCAAGGCTGTTGCCAAGACAGTAAGCTGATTCCACAAACTGACAGCAAGGTCTATTGCTGAAGACAATACCCACATGGCACATTGAACTTGGAGATGTTGATCTTATGGCTACTAGAACCTTCACCCCCAAATTCTAGCGTCATAGGTATGGGAGGTATTCTATTGGCTACTAAAAGAGAAGTATCTACATCAATCCAGGGACAAAACATTTGATAAGCAATGCTGTCTTGTCTGCAGGATATGCTAGGGCTGAATTTTGGCATATTGTAGAAGTAACTATTCAATCAATGTCTGCTTTGTATATGTGACACTGTTTTGGTGACCAAGAGCCAGAGACTAACTAGCTCAAAGACATAGGACAAAATCATATGCTATAAGATCTGAAAAGAAAAAAAAAAAGTAACAACAAAATGACCCCTGAAGATATTCTGCTACACTCATAGATCAGATCCCTCTTTATTCAGCCATTATCAGAGAAGCTTGCCCCCTGCAGCAGATGGGAACATATTCAGAGTGACACAGCCAGACATTTCACAGAGAGAGAAACCTTGGAACACAGAGCTCTAAATGGAATGTCTTTCTTAAAACCCTCCCCTCAGAGCTCAGAGCACCCAGAGGAAGAGGATGCAGAAAGAGGGTAAGAGTCGGAGGGAATGCAGGACACCAAGAGAACAAGACTCTGAACCAACTGAGCAAAGCTCACATGAACTCAGACTGAGGCAGAAGGCACAGGGCCTGCTCGGGTCTGCACCAGGTCCTCTGTGCACATCTTACAGCTTTCAGTCCAGTGTTTCCATGGATTCCTGAGTGTGCGGATGAGTGGGTCTCTGGTTCTCGTGCCTTCTCTTGGGCCCTACTCCTTCTGTTGGTTTACATTGCGCATTAATGGGATGGATTTGTTTAATCTGATTTCTTGTTTGTTATATTTGGTTGTATCTCTTAGAAGCCTGTTCTTTTCTAATGAGAGACAGAAAGGAATGGATCTGGGGGAAGACTCTGAGGAGTAGAGGGAAGGGAAAACAGTAATCAATATATATTGTATGAGGAAAGAATCTATTCTTAATAAAAGGGGGAAAAGAAAAATAGCAGAAGTCTAACAGGAAGAGGAACATTCTGTCTGGATGGCTTATGCAACTGAGGAAGAATTGACGGATTTTCATCGCTGCACTTTCTACGCTGGGGAAACTGTCTTCTGTTCTTTTGAGGACTTTATGTGGAAATTACTACATTGGCTTTAAAATTATCTTGGACATCCTGATCTGGGAATATCTGTGCTCCCATCATCTCTATTAATTAATCTGTTGTTTATTGTTGGCTGGGGCAGGAAAGACCTTGTGCATTTAATCCATTTTGTTCTCTGTGAACATCCTTCACTCTCTTCTGTTAGACATTTAGTCACGCATAAAGACAAATGTTATCACTCATTTCAAAAAGATTTTCCCATAAAAATAAAATTGGAAAGAAAATTAATTGCTTGAGTTCAAAGACTTTTAAATACTTCTCCAAAATCCTCCTCAGTAGAATGCTCCTTAAGTCAATAGTCCCTCATGGGACAGGAACCAGCTTGAAAGTGATGGTTCAGGCAAACTTGGCAGCCAGAATAGCACTAAGTAATCACGGACCTAGTCCTGTCTCCAGGAGGGTGAGCCTGCCCTCTAGTGTCTGGGAAAGGAAGCACAGGTCCCTCTCACCTGTAGAAAAGGGCATAAAAGCTTCAATTTTCTTCAAAGCCCCATTATCATCCAGGAAGTGGTCGGGATTGAAGGCATCTGGTTGTGCAAAGTACCGTGGGTCATGGAGAGCTGCACTCATGATGGTGTACACTTCAGTATTCTGGGAGGCATTGTGAGAGACAATGATATTAGTATACCCTGGCTCCCATATGAGGACAGTCTTTATCGAAGCACAGAATGATGGGAAACCACAAGCAGGGTTGTCCCTGGGAGAATGGAGCATATCCATGGCAAAGAGATGTGGAATCGCAGCTGGTCTCACCTTGGGGAGCAGGTACCCTCGGAACAAAGTGTCTTTGGTGACTTTGTGTGGCAATCCAATTGGGCCAAGATCTGAAAATCTCTGAATCTCATGGATGACAGCCTCAGTGTAAGGCATTTTGGTGCGGTCTTCAAGGATTGGTGGGCGGTGTGAGCCGATCACCTGATCGATCTCTTTTTGGACTTTCTCTGCACGGAATAGGAGACAACATAGAATGTCGATTCCTTTACAGAGGCAATGCACAGTGACCCTGTTTTCTGTGAGCCAATAGCTTAGGAACAGTGCAGATCCAGGAGACTCTGCTGAGAAAGACACAGAGCACTCTATGGTACACCCACCTGCATTCTCTCCAGCCACAGCTATGTTAGAGACTCTCTCCAAAGCTCCAACCTTGTTCATAACAGAAAAAAAAGGAGAACCCACAATAAAGGGCTATTTTCACCTATCAGTCTGAGGGAATGCTGGAGAGAGAGATGATAAGAATTCTCCATATTTGAAATATAATTACATAATTTCTGTTCCTGCATAACACACACACACATACATCTTTGAATGAAATTTATATTTTAAAATGAGGAAGCTGGAGAGATGTCTTGATGGTTAAGAGCACCGGTCGCTCATTCAGAGGACCGGGGTTCAATCCCCAGCACTCACATGGCAACTTACATTTTGACTCCAGGTCCAGGGAATTCGACCCCCTCACACAGACATATATGCAGACAAAACAACAATGCACACTACTAAAAACAATTGTAAAAATCCAGAATAATAACCTGAGGCTATATCCTCAGGAATAAAGGAAATAACTTAATCTATGTATAACTGAATATTAAATATGAATACACTGGTCAATGAAATGACTCAGTCAGCAAATGCATTGATTTCCATCCTAACAGACTGCCTTTGGCATCAGAACCCATGGGAAAAGCAGGAGAGACCCACAGCACAAAGTTGTTCTCCCACCTCCACACATGAATTGCAGCAGACAAACACACAAAACATCACATTGATTTCAGATTCTTAGAATGTTAGGGTGTAAGTCAGCAAGCAATGGATGAGTTGGTTAATAAAGGAAAGATTTCTGGGTGAGTGAAATGAGCAAAGCAAAACTGGATGTCCATATTCCACTTCTCTCCCACTGTATTAATCAATTAATCACTTAATAAGTGGTTCATAGACAAATAAATCAATGAATACAACTAACCAAGCATCAAGCAAATATGTGGATGAATAAATGAGGATGGATGGATGGATGGATAGATGGATGGATGGATGGATGGATGGATGGATGGATGGATGGATGGATAGATGGATGGATGGAAGGAAGGATGGGTGCATCAACCATTAATTGGTAGGTGAAAACAATAGAAAACAGGACAGCTGAGTGATCATTCATGCACCATCCACAGCACAGCCCTAGTTAAGACTTAGGACAAAGATACAGAGCTCCAGATATAAGAGGCCCATGCTCTATCATCTACACAAACTCCCAGACAATAGGGAGCTAGAAGTTTCCCCAACTGTCCGCCTGTGGTTCACCTGCAACATGGGGGTATTTGAGCATGAGAAGGAAGCCATAGCGGAGCGTGGCGCTGCTGGTCTCGGTGCCAGCAAAGAAGAGAGACAGCACGGAGATCATGAGGTTCTGGTGATGGAACTCCGTGTGTTGGTTGGACTTCTCCTGGTTCCAGATGGGAGAAGGGAGGGTCAGGGGTGACTGGAGCCTTTCAGAAAGATGCACACACATCCTGGGAACTGTTCTTCTGTCTCACATTATATGAATCACATGGCATTTCTCAGTCCTTAATAATATTGCTTGATCTCTGTCTGTTCTGTCTTCTCTCTCTACTGTGCTCTCTGGTAGTTTAGCATGGTTTGTCTTCCATGCTCTTTCTTCTTCTGTGGTCTTTCCTGCTTTTTGTCCCTTGCCCTATTTCTTCCCCACCCTTCCTTCTCCCTATCACATTTTCTCTTCCTTTCATTTTCATCATTTGCCAGACACTTCTGCATCACACTCTCTCCATTTCCTGTCTCTCCTCCCCATCCTCTGCCCTCTTTTCCTCAGCTCATACCTTCAGCCTTCACTCTCAGCCATCCCCTCTCATTCACGCAGGACTTACCTTCTCCATGCGTATTAGGTAGGTATCGATGAAGTCTCTTGGATTGTTGGGGTCCAAGGTTGCCCTATGCTTCTCCACACTGTGGCCGATGTAGTCAAGGATTTCTTGAGCTTTTTTGAAGATTTGCTTGTGGGCACCAGGAAAGTACTTCAAGAAACCAGAGAAGAGCTCAAACACCTGCAAGAAAGAAGGACCCTGGAGGTTCTCTTGAGCTTTTAGATCACAGGAAGTGGAAGTGCTCTTAGTGTTCTATTGCTGCACCATACCCAGAGAAGAGATACCATAGCCAAGGCAACTCTTACAAAAAAAAGCATTTTTGAGGGCTTGCCTACAGTATCAGAAGTTAGTCTATTATCATCATGGCAGGAAGCAGACAGGCCTGGCATGTGCCTGAGAGCTTTCATCGTGACATCCATGTAGACAGACATGTGCCTAAGGACTGGCATAATGATGTATATGCAGAAGGGCATGTGTCTGTGAGCTGACATCATGATATCCACGCAGAAGGGCATGAGTCTGAGATCGACACCGTGGTATACAGACAGACTGGAAGAACTAGAGGGAACCCTGGCCTTGCATGGGATTTGGAAACTCAAAATTCAGTCAAGCAACACATCTTCTCCAATGAGGACACAAATCCTAATCCTTGTAAACAGCTCTTCAAGCATGCAAATACACTACCCTATGCGGACCAATCTCACTCAAACCACCTCATGCCCCTAGATGCCCATGTCAAAGGGATAAGTACACAAAATACACACACAAATATACACATCTCTCTCATATGTATACACTCTACATGCATGCATGCTCTGAGCTTTCTCTCTAAACCTGCCTCTCACCCTGGCCTTGCACTCTGTGCCTCCATTTTCCTCTCCTCTGCTCTCTCTCCCAATCCCTGTGCTGAATTGTCATTGTGTGTTTTAATTTGGGGATTTGCTTATGCATACAAGGTCCCATTCTTGCCTGAGTGGCCTTAAACTCAGTATAGCAAAGGATCACCCTGAATTTATCATCTTCCTGCCTCCACGTTCTGGAACTGCATGAGTGGTGTGCCACCACACCCAGGAAATGCAATGAGGACCTCATGCATGAAAACCAAGTCCTCTACCCTCAGAGCTACAGCTGCAGCACCCACATCACCATTTCGTGCAGGTGTGAATGACTCTGTATTTCTGCATTTACATCTCTGCCCTGCTCCCCACCCTATCTCCCACCTGCTCGCAACCTCTTTGCCTCTCGAAGTTGTCTCTGTCTTTCTTCAGCCCTAAGAGACTCCTTTTTTTACCCACCTAGCATTGTCTTCTTTCCACTGTCTTGGATGCTCCTCTCTTCCCACCTACTGACCTGGCTGGAGAATGAGCTGATGAGTGAGAAGATCTGATAGAACAGGTCC